TATTGAAGTTTGATTGTGGAAAATTACATGGAATATTCCCATTTTCACTGCAAAAGTGACTGTTTAATACTCTTATTTTCCTAACAAAATGGAGATCCATAAGGACACCACTGTCTTCATTTCAGCTAAGAGAACATACAAAAAACCAAAACATGAGGCCATGTAATACAGCCCTTTTTTTAGAGATCATGAAGTGACAGTCCAATTTGTCGCTGCATTGAATGCAGCTGACCACTGAGGAAAATGGATCCTCTGTCTGCTGTGGTCATGTTCTGAAATGAATCCTTTCACTGTATCACACTGTTAGTAAGATTTATACATTCTGTGAAAAGCAAGGCATTTCCATCAAAACAGATCAAGTTCAATATAATACAAGTTAAATTTTTTACCCATATGTGTGGTAATAAGATTCTGCTCTAGAACTTAATTTCTTGAATGGGACTTTTGTTTTCAATTTCAACCACAGATTCATTCAACAGTCTGTATTTACTTAATTTTTTGCCACCATTACATGTCTTCCCTTAGCTCTCATTTTGCTAGGACAAAACAAGCCAAGTGGGTTAGGCTTTCTAACCATTGCCCTATTCATTCTTCTTTTGCATCTGTTCCTTTTTTATCTTAGTACTTCTTCCATCATTACGGAGCATGACAATTGTACACAGTGTCTCATATGGAGTCTTCCCATATTGTCTAGAAGGCCATTGACAGTAGTCTGAGAAATACTCTCAGTTCAACATCACTTGATTTTCAAAGGAAATGTTGCTTTTCTTTTCAACAATCCCTTTTCTTACTCAGTTTAAAGTGCTGGGCCGTTGTTGACTCTCCACTAAGTCAGGTCTGAATGTCAGCAAGACTATTATTACTATACAATAATACAGGTTACTACAACTGCAAATGGATTTATTGGATGAAGAAAAAGAGGTACAAAACCGTATCTACAAGATAGGACAGAAGCCAAAAAAAAAAAGGGATATCAAATGTTTCTTACATTTTTGGGGGGGAAGTGCTGGATATTGTACTTATCGCTACATCACATAGAAGTTATGTATGTCATTTTATAGTTTATAAGTGTAGCTATCATATTTATTATAGTTGATATTTATCTTGTATTCCATCAAAAAAGGTGGTTTTAAGTTCAGTAACCCGATCTCCTTCTATGACAAGGTGACTTGCTTAGCAGATGAGGCTGTGAATATTGTCTATTTGGACTTTAGTAAAGCGTTGGTCACCATTTCCCACAGCATTCTCCTGGAGAAACTGGCCGCCCAGAGAGTGGTGGTAAAGGGAGTTACATCCTGCTGGTGGCTGGTCACAGGTGGTGTTCCACAGGGCTCAGTACTTGGGCCAATCCTATTTAATACCTTTATCAATGATCTGGACAAAGGGAACAAGGGCACCCTCTGTCAGTTTGCAGACACCACCAAACTGACTGGGTGGGAGTCTTGATCTGCTGGAGGGTAGAAATGCTCTACAGAGGGATCTGGACAGGCTGGATCAATTGGCTGAGGCCAGTGGTATCAGGTTCTAAAAGGCAAAGTGCCAGGTGCTACAGTTGGTTCACAACAACTCCAGACAGTGCTACAGACTTGGGACAGAGTGGCTGGAAAGCTGCCTGGCAGAAAAAGACCTGGGGATGCTGGTTGACAGCTGAACATGAGCCAGCAGTGTGCCCAGGTGGCCAAGAAGGCCAATGGCATCCTGGCCTGTATCAGAAACAGTGTGGCCAGCAGGACTTTGGTGGCCACAGCCTTAGTGATCTTCCCCCTGTACTCAGCACTGTTGAATCCTTGAAAATGTCTTTTTAATTAGAAAATGTGGAAAAAAGCCTAAAGCACTTAGGTTGAACTACAAGTACAAACATGAGGTATTACAGATACAGACAATTTGGTTATGAGTTATATGAAATAACACAACTGTCATCCACAATGAATGCCTTCAGTCTTTCAAGTGTTGCACAAGGAATATATATATGCACTTTCACTTCCCTGTATTGAGTTCCTTACTGCTCTGCTGTCATTCTCAAAGCAAGGAGAAACATTAGTGTGACAGCACAGGACATATCCACAATGATGTTTAAAGGTTTCAGAGACTTTTGTTATTTTTCTAGAGATGGCAGACATACCGATTTACCTCAGGACAGAGCAACCTTCAGATCCAACACTTGAAAATGCACTGGAACTGCCGTGATAACTCACACAACTGAGTTTGAGATGTAGATATTCAAAGATGCTGACATCAAGAAATGAAATCTTGGCCCCACTGGAGTTGGAGCAGACTCATCTTTGATGTCAGCACAACTGTGATTTTAACAGTGATTTTAGAAATGTCAGGCATGGCTCATGAGTCTAATTGACAGAAACATTTTTGACGAATGTCAAATTTTAAAATACCATTTTTACCTCAAGCACTTGACTTGCTTCTGTACTGATCCTAGGTACAATTTTTTACAGCACAATATAGGACACGCTACACTTTTATTTCTATGCACACAGCTCAGATAGTGCAATCCTCAACTGCTGTAGTTATTTGCTTGGATGTGGAACAACACTGAGGAACTCCAGCTTTGTGCCTGCATAGCTATACTATTGACAATTCTGAGCTATGTAACAGTAATTTCAAATAGTTAAGTGGGAAAACAAAAAAAACAACTTTTATATCATTAAGAATTCATCTCAAGTACCCAGCACTTCTACAGTGAATATACAGCATCTTATGGAAACCAAACTAAAATCAGCTCTTCTACTGCATCTACATTTTCTTCTACTACTCCCATAGAGGTCCTACAAAAACAGCTGCAAGTCAATTATTCAGACTGGAAAGCAATGTAAATTTTTATTTTTCCTCTAGTCTCCATCATGTGCTTTGCTATCAAACAATGCCAAAGTCAGAATATAAATGAGGCTAGAAAATATCCATATAAAATACACATATATATGTATACACATGCTGTATACATTATTCCAGGTGTGTATAGCATGCTGGACTGCTAAACAGCTTTCTGCATGGACTTCACGGGAACAGAGACCCTGTTATGAACGACTCCCTCCCTATTTTTTTTCCATACACTCGGGCTATTGTGACATCTTCTTTCCCGGCAGTGCTTCCCTTCTCTTGAACTTTTACCCTCTCTGCTTGAGCCCTTCTATGAATGGCAATGTAACAAAAGGGGAGAAAATGAAGAGAAGTGTAATTAACAAGATGATGACTGCCCCAGCTCCTCAGAGATATCCTTAGAGAGTGACTCTCTGAGCTCATCAGCACGACAGAAGATAGTAGTGTCAGGAATAAACTGAAAAAAACCCAGATAAGCTAGAGACAACCTCAATTATTTTTGAGTCCCATTTTACTGACCGAATATAACATCAGTGAAATTAAGGCAGCATGCAATTTAGACTGGTCTTATGTTTTTGTGCTATAGCTGCTCAGGTGGATTGTATGGTTAAAACCATATTTCAGCTCCCCAAAATCTTATGTCATGTGTGTTTGGACAGTATCAAAAGAGTAATATTGTGAGAAAATACTGTTAATGGTCAGTTATTCAATGCGGTATTGGCAAATATCTGGAGACATGCTGTAGATAGATAGGCTGCTGAATTTTAAACAGCTACTGAGCCTAATCTCTTTCATCTAGTTGTACCTTGAGTAATACAGGAGCTAATACAGATTGGAGAATTTCAAATGTATGCCCCAAGCATGCACATATATATTACAGCAGTAAAACCCAATAGTAAACCTGTTCCTTAGGCATTGTTAATAGGATTTGGATAATCACAGAAAAAGCCCTTGGTGCTGAAATTTTTCTTTTTGTTTATACCACATTACCTAATGGGACTGCGTGAAGCTGAAAAGAAAACAACGGATTGACATGAACGTTCCAGTAGAAAAAATAGGCAATGTCAGTGAGGCCTCCATGCTAGTTAATAATTTGTTTTACTTTATTCCGCATTTGCTCATCTCAAGGAATATTTTCAAATGAAAATCACATGCTTGTACTTCTTAGCTGAAGTTAAGTGCTAAGATAGCAGGTTTTAAAATGTCCACTGTGGGGATTGGAAGATGTCTTATCAGGAGTGCCTGGTACACACCTCACATGGGGTCCACTCTGAGAATGCTTCTTAGTCATTTCCTTCATCACAAAATCCACCAGTGACATTTCATGTGTTCTTTGCTGCTGGAAGCTGTGCTATCCTGCCCCTTGGCCATGAGATAAAATTATATATTCTATAAAATTACTGAATATTGCATTTCTAGTCCCAGCATCTATTAAAACCATTGCTGCTGCCTGCTAAGGAAAGACAGACCAAGTTAGGTAAAGAAAGGTTGAAGCCCAACAGGAATAGTTAATTGTTAACTGGGAAGTTAGAAAGAGGGATGCCCACAGAGTTAGAGTATCCCTTGGAGTCCAACATGCCTTCCTCCCTGTCATCCATGGGCTACTCCTTATATGCAGTCAGGTTCATTCTTTCATGCAATAAGATGGAAGGAAAAGCAGATTCTTCTGCTTTTTCCCTTTGTTCTGATTTCTGTCTTTTGTCAGTTAGCGCAAAGAGAAAAGCAGGCACAAGTAAAATTCACTTTCAGGGGGGATTTTACTGGTGCCAAACTACTGCGCCATCAGCAGTTATTGGTTACACACTACAAACTTTTATTTCCCTGCTTGCTGGCCACACGATGCCAGAACTCCCTGTTGGCCCCAGAAGGCAGATGCCTGCTGCTGGTACATGACCAAAGTAAAATGTAGGTTGCGTGTCTCCTTGGCTATTATATGGCCATTTTTCTAAGCAATCTTTGGCTGATGAAGTTCTGTGCTCTCTCATAAGGACTGTCACATGGTGGAGGGAGAGGCGGGGGGTTGATTCCTTGTTTCCATGATTTGTAAAAAGGTAAATGTTTAACTCAGTTTTGGCACTGAGAAGAAGAGCAGAGAGGGTTTTAAAGGCACTTTGCATGTAAGTACTCATGAAACAACATTGTTATTCTCACACAGCAGGCGTAAGCAGAAGAAACAGAGACATAACAACTTAGCAATGCAAAATGAGCTCCAGGCATCAGGTAATTGTACCTTTTTTTTTGCTTTTAAAACCCCTAACAACACTGAATCACATGCGGTCAATCTGACCTGTTCTTGATGCTGTTCACAGCAGTAGAAAGTCTTTGTGACTCACACTTTCAATCAGAAGGACATTTTAGATTATTCACATATGGAGAGAAAAAAGCAAAACAACAAACTGTTTATTTGTATTCATTTTATGACCTGAAAGGGCTCAATTTTTCATGATTTGTACTGAAGCTAGTGTGTTTTAAAAGTATTTATCTAAAAGATGTGATTTCATCATACAGCCTCCAAAACAAATTTATTTAGTTCCATTATATGTGACCTATCTTTCTGACTTTCTTTTAAGATATAAAATATTATGGATAGGTAGAAGCATGTGATCCAGAGAAGCAATGCAACGTGCCACACGTTTGAAATTCAAAGGTACTGGCAGTTCCCTGGGGCACTTCAGTGTCGTGAGAGCCAGAACCCTCTGCAATGAACATAGTGGCTCTGGGTGGCTCAGACATAGCTTCTCGAGGGCAGTGGAGCTGGTGAAGGGTCTGGAGCACAAATCCTATGAGGAGCAGCTGAGGGAGCTGAGGATATTTAGCCTGGAGAAAAGGAGGCTCAAGAGAGAGCCTCATCACTCCCTATGACTACCTGAAAGAAGGATGTATTTAGGAGGGAGCTGGTCTCTTCTCCCAAGAAACAAATGATAGCACAGAAGGAAATAGCCTCAAGTTGTCCCAGGGGAGGTTCAAATTGGACATTAAGAAAAATGTCTTCATCAGCAGGGTTGCCAAGCACTGGAACAGGCTGCCCAAGGAAGTGGTTGAATCACTATCCCTGGAGACATTTAAAAGACATAGAGACATGGTGTTTGGGGGCATGTGTTAGTGGTGGACTTAGCAGTGTTGGGTTAATGGTTGGACTCAATGAACTTACAGATCTTTTCCAACCTAAACAATTCTATGATTCTCTGTGTTTTTGTCAACTGGTTTCTTCATGTTCCATAACTGGTGCTTCTGTAGAAAGGGTAGAGAGAGACGAGCACTTACCCAGAAACAAAGCATGTAGTCAACAGGAATGGGCATCCTTCCTGACTCTACAAGGGGTGACTCGTAGAGTCACCAAGCACCTGCAGAAACAAACCGCGCGTCCACTACCAGGAATGCAAGCAGTGACATTATTCTTCCTCTGTTCCTCTGCTCCAGGGACACCAGGTTGCAGGTCAGAGTCAGAGGCTGATCATCATCTCTAAGGTCAACTTCTGCACAGCACTGTGCCCAAACAGGCAGGTCCCAGGAAGAGGCTCATTAGCCCTGCACTATCCCAATGGCTGCATGGCTTACCAGTCAGATCTGGGCTGTGACCACCAGCTGGAAGGACCAACGAAGCAACTCTGCTCCCTAGAAAGTCTGCACTCTCCAGTCAATTATCTTTGAGAATTTGGTGTATGTAGTGATTTGATTAAAATCAGGGATCTTCCTCAGGCTGAGTAATACGTAGTCTTTTTTCACATGACTTAAGTGTGCAGGTCCCATGCAGTAGTGACTTAGGATAGAGCCAGAAAAGTTTTGCTGATGAATGTAAAATAACTGCAGGTACATGTAGAAAAATATTATCTGTTTATAACAATACAAACAATATTAAAAAATGGATGGGGAGAAAAAAGCTTAGATCTCACCACTAATTCTAGTGCTTGTAATTAAGTGTAATCCATAAATACCAAAGGATTGTCCATTTGGACCAGATTATATGTTTCAGTTCCTAGAAGAAGAAAAAATTATTACGTTTTTGCCATGCATTAAATTTAATATTAGTTACCATGTTGGAAAGAATAATGGGAAAAACCTTTCCTTGGGTTGTGAGAAGGTGAAATCTAATATCTTCCAGTTAATCCCATTATGATTATTATATATGACTCTAGGTTGGGTTCATTCATAGATTGCACAAATATTACTAAATAAGGCTTCAGGCAAGTATGCATGAATTTTTGTAAATTGTGATCAGGCCTCAGCGCAGTGGCTACCAGGTAATGGATTAACGAGCTGTCAGTATTAAATTCATTTATTTCTCCTTATCATTTAAAGAGCAGGTGGCCTATAATTATACCAATCTGAACACACCACTCTGAAAGACACACAGCTTTTTGCAGAGAAATAGGAGGAGCAGCGGCAGATTTCATTTATCAGGAATAACATGCCCTTCCTGGCCTTTCATCTCCAGCACCTAGGTAGACTCACTCTGCTGGTGCTATTGACCCTGCACATTTTATGCAGACTGGGGTGGATTGATGATAAATATACTGAAAGTTTCTTGCTGTAACTTGAAATTAAGTGAGGCCTTGAAAGAAAAGTCTTCAAAGGACTAAAAATGTGTGCATGCATGTATTTGTTCAAAAAAGCATGTAGTGATTGACTGGACTGTGTTCTGCAGATGTGCACATATATGGGTTTCAGTGGAATTGTAAGGTGTGTAAATCAGTGCAAAATTTGTCTTACCCTTCTCCAAAGTTGAATCAGTCCTGGTTGCCTCTGTCACATAAACAGTGTAAGTTCAGATACAATTGAAATATGTGAATTTACTGAAAAAAAAGTAAAACCAAAAGTGCTGAAAAAGTTTCACAGTTATTTAAAAATAAGGATAGCCTTTAGTTTACTCAGGTTATATTGATCCTTTTTCTCCCTCTCTTTTCAGTGTACTAGAGCCAATAAAATATTTGGTCGTGAAAAAATGAAAAAGGGTGGGAAAGAGTTTGATTTTGACCTTTAACTAAGCAGCTCATCCGATTGAATCTCTGTATGCTGAAAAAAATGAAGGCGAGCAAGCAGGAGAATTTTCTTTCAGTAGGCAGAGTTTCAGTTTGTCTGCATTTCCTACCATCTCACTTGTTTACTCAACATATTTATAATAATTACTGCAGCTCCCTATCTATTACTGCAGTATTCTAATTAGAAGCTGAAAGGATACTGAGGACTCACTTGGAAAGGATTAGTGATCATGAAACAAACCGAAATGTCTGTCTGCTCCATACCACCAGGCATCTTTTCTGCAGGTGAAGATAAAGAAGAGTAGAATCAACAAGATTTGTTGAAAGAGTTTTTTAATGCTTCTTATCTTGTCTTACTATGGTGGTAAGTGTTGTCAAGGACTGTTTTGAGCAAGAAGTTGAATTACAGTCATCAAAAAGAATGAGGTCGTGCTATTGTCAGCAAGACTACTGATGGCATGATGTAATGCTGTGTGCAATGAAAATTTGAAGAACAGGATAGATCTGCATTAAAGGAGGATTTTTCTGTTCTGGGCAGGGGTTTTCCCCTCTCTTTTTATAAGACAACTTTTTAATTGGAAAAAACAACAAACAAGAACCCCACAATGGGGAGGTTTTGTCATCATTTGGGAGTAAATAGAAGATACGATTTAGGGGTGGGTATCTCAAAAAAAAAATAACAGTCAAATTCTTTCTCAAGGAACTCTGTTTGCTTACATTTGTGAGCCCTAAACATGTGCTAAAAACACCTCCCTTTTCATTCCCAAAGCACTATTGCTTTGAACAGTATTCAGCAAGAATTCAGAAATGCTGTACTTGAGCAACGTGTCATTTAGAAGGCAGGTATAATGTAAAACCATTTCATTTAAAGTAAGTCACATCAGGACCCACTAGAAAGACAATTTATCCTGAAATTACTAAGAATTGATACATATATAATTGTTTTGCTATCACCTTTTCCAAAAAACATCACCCAACTAGACCTTAAAATTGTGCCCCAAAAGGTTATTTGGACACAAATGTTGCTCAGGTAAGTGGGAAATCAGCTGATGTTCATTTCTACTTCTCAGGCAGTGACACCACAGGGAAGTCCCCCTTCACAATTTTTTGAATGGAAATATTTTCTTCTTTTTTACCTCCATGTGAATGAGCATACTCACATTCGGCAGGTGCACTCTTTGCTGGGTTAAAAAGTGGCTGGATGGCAGGGCCAGAGAGTGGTGGGGAATGGTGCCACATCTACTTAGTGGATGGTCACTAGTGGGATTCCTCAGGACTCAGTTTTGCAGCCAGTACTGTTCTATATCCTTATTGATGATCTGGATGAGGATATTGAGTGTACCCTCAGACAGTTCACAGACAACACTAAGTTTGGTGGGAGTGTTGATCTGCTGGAGGGTAGGAAGGCTCTGCAGAGCTGCACAGGCTGGCTGGCTGGGCCGAGACCAGCAGTATGAGATTCAACAAGCCCATGTGCTGGGTCCTGCACTTTGGTCACAAAAAACCCCGGCAGCTCCACAGGTTGGTGTAAGAGTGGTTGGAAAGTGGTCCAGTGGAAGAAGACCTGGGAGTACTGGTCGACCGCTGAACATGAGCCAGCAGTGTGCCCAGGTGGTCAAGAAGGCCAGTGGGATCCTGCCCTGTGTCAGAAATAGTATGGCCAGCAGGACCAGGGAAGTGATTGCCTCTCTGTGCTTAGAACTGGAGAGGCTGCATCTTGACTCCTCTGTCCAGTTTTGGGCCTCTCACTACATTGAGGTGCTGGAGTGTGTCCAGAGAAGGGTGACAAAGCTGGTGAAGAGTCTAGAGAGTAAGTCATATGAGGCGCAGCTGAGGCAGCTGGAGATTGTTTAGCCTGGAGAAAAGGAGGCACAGAGAGGACCTTATCACTTTCTACAACTGCCTGAAAGGAGATTGTAGGGAGGTGGGGATCAATCTCATCTCTCAAGCAACTGGAGGATACAGCCTTAAGGTGCACCAGGGAAGGTTCATGTGGAACATCAGGAAGAGTTTCTTCACAGAAGGGGTTGTTAAACACTGGAATTGACTGCCCAGGGAGGTGATGGAGTCATCATTCCTGGAGGTGTTCAAGAAACTACTGAATGTGTCACTTACTGCCATGATCTAGTTGACAAGGTGGTGATCGGTCAAAGGTTGGCCTCGATGATCTTGGAGTTCTTTTCCAACCTCAATAATTCTGTGATTCTGTATCTTCACCTCACTTCATTTATGTATATAATTGAAATTCTATGTAAGTCGAAATGGTATTTGAAAAAAAAGAACAGCTACAGGTTTTAGAAAGTTACTTACAGTAGACAATAAACCCATTTTTAGCTTTTTGACATACAGATGTTCTTTCTTCCTGAAATATGAAAATTATGTTTTCATAGGACAAATTACCCAATTGTTTCCTCATTTAATGATAAAATAGATGTTTCTCTCCTGAAAAAAACCAAAATTAATACTTAAAATGGTACACATTCAGATATAACTATTTCTTTTTGCTTTTTTCTCTCTCTTCTTCTTTCATTATTTCATCAAATTAATGTTCTCCTTGTGAGATTTTGAAGAATTTGATAAAAGAAACTGATGAGATTAGCCTGCCTTTATCTGAGTTTTTATTGTGACCTATTGTGTATAAAACATTATGTGCAAAGAAGTAAATATATATTTAAAAAAAAAACAACACATTTTCCTATCAGTTTTGTTTTTTTTTTTACTTCCGTGGGCAGCACTGACCTTTTTCTCCTGCTTCTAGGACAAATGTTTGCTCCAAAAATATGTTAACCATCCAGTGTTTTGTTTGAAGTCTATTTAGGGGCTTGCAAAAGTATTCAAGATATACCAAGAAAGAAGGGAGCAAAATGGTTGATACTCTACTTTAAGTTACTGGACTGAAACAAACTCTTAGCCATGCTTGTTTCACACACTTTTACAGACAACTATTGGCAAGCCATGTGAATCTGGGAGGTTGGAACTTTTCTCTTTTCATCTGCCCTCTTTCAGTATAAGTTTTTTCCTTATTGTATATCCTACCTACGCAACACTGCCCTTCAGCATAGCTTGCACTACTGACAGAATGCCAGCTGCTCTCATTCTGGTTCCACCTTCACATCCCTTCTCTTGGCTACACCTCCAGCCTGATTGCAGCATCCCCCTGCTCCCTTTACTTCGCAGGCTCTCCTTGATAATTTTCTGTTTCTAGTATGTTTGTTATAATTCCCTGACCAAGTACTCTTTCCCAATCTTTCTATATGAAAAATGCTTCTGTATGTAAAATGCTTTCAGTTTGCCATTTCAATGGTGTTACGCAAATGAGAACACTTATTCCATTGCTTATCAGATTAATGAATATTTAGATAAATAATGCTTTCTCCAGGCAGCCAGCTTCAGTGTGCCATAAGGCTAATTGCAAGGTGGGGAAGGTAAAGACTTTGAGCAACCAAGCAGGTGCTGAGGAGGGAAGTCAACCTTTTGGAGATGATGACCTTCACATCTCACTGTTGACAGAGACCCATAAGTCATCGTAGAACAAAATACCTATATTTTGGAACTGTTCACATTAATCAATACACTTCATTTTTCCTTTGGTTTTCTAAGGATACAAATCCTACACAGTTACACTCTTTCTGTTTTTACCCACAAGCACCTAATAGCTGCTTTGGCATTATTTTTTGATAATGGATTGTCCCCTTTCACACACTAGCAGCTATCAGTGA